TCCTGACGTGTTTCCCAATGACGCTTGCCCCGCATGTGGGGATGTATCCACGCTGGCGCACATGCTCTGGGAGTGCAAGGCAATGTACACTAACCCCAACACTACATCGGTCAGGTGGGAGGCGGCCCTACGCAGCTCCCTCCTGGCCGACCAACTTTGGGCCGTCCAGCAGGCCCGCGGAGCGGCCGATAGGCTTGGCCTAACGGTCCCGACGTGGGAGTCGCCCGCTGCGCGCTGACGCGCGCCTTGCAGGACCTCACTAAAGTTTCGCAACCAACCAACCAACCCCAATGCTGCACGCACCGACGTCTACTTTGCGTACGGGAGCAATGATGTTCTCCCGCTCTCTGATGGTCATTGGCCAGAATTATTCTTCAGCCAGGCTTCACGATGTTGTAGATTTCAGGGCAATTTGTGTTACTGCAAGCTAGCGTCTATTCTGGCATTCAACTTGCACAGTGGCACACACAGCAGCACAACAGACTTGTTGCATCACATCGCTAAAAAAAAAATATAACATCTGAACACAAGCACACTAAAAAAACTGTCCTCAAACAGAGGAAACATGACGCGAACTGCCCCCGCACACGATTGCTCACAAAAAAGCACGAAAACCACACGGTCACGCACAGATCCTCATGCACCCACATTGAAACACATAGTGCCTTCCGCTTTGACGGGTGGAGCGTCAGTGCCCTCCTCAAAAAAGCGGCCGAAACTGTCAACTCTGCCCAGATACGCTCGCCCATTGACGGCAACTCGACGCAGCAGGCCGCACTTAGTTTTTTATCCAGCGGCCGTACCACAGCTATCAGTTCACTTTCAGTCTCGTGGGGTTCCTGTAAAGAGTGACAAGTGAATTGTCGTCCGGAGACTCTGACAGTTACTTCTGCGATTCAGGCAGTGTGCAGGGCACTAATTTAGGGAACAGTTGCGTTGTGTTCTGGTAATGTCTATTGTTGTGCGGTTGGCTTGCAGACCTTAGGTGATGCAAATATTGAAATAAAATGTAAAATTGAGGGACCCTTAAGCTTCAACTTTAAGAGTTGAAAGTGATAGCAATATCCTGTGTCTAGTGCTTACATCAAATACTTAGTGCATGAAATCTTTTACAGCGAAAGCTGTTATGAGGTCAAAACTCGGGTGATCGCCGCTGGTGTCCGTAAGCACTATCGCAGAAATAAGAAAAAAAAATCTAGTACCAAGGACACAGTGGGGCTCGAATTCAGGTCTGCTGCGTGCCAGCCCAGTATTCTACCACTGAGCCAAGCTGGTGCTTGGGACTGGAGGTTGCTGGCGGATGCACCTGTGCCTTCAGGATCTAAATGAATTGAGGAGATACTCATGAGAAACAGGACATACGCACTAAATAGCACGATAAGTGCACCTCTATTGGTAGGTGTAAAAATAGAAAAAATGCTGTTGCCGATTCGTCTTGAAGACACTGGGTACAGAATGCATAACTCAGTCGAGACCTTAGCTGAAAATCGCCAAAAATTCGCCATGTCGCTATTTATTATTTCAGGTCACCATGGGCTTCTCAAATTTGCTGATTTGGCAAAAAGTAGCCACCAGTGGCAACCCTGCACATAGACTTGCTATATATAACTCTCTTCCTCTACGCTCAGTCCTGGCAGTCCGTAAGCATACAGGAACATACCCGCACCCGGTCTAGTACGGAGTCTATGGGTCCGTAGCCATCAGTTACGATACCAATGACCATGCAGCTGATGCAAGCTTGCAGCAGGGACAATGTGAGGAGTCGGTCGTGAGGCTACAAGCAGACCTGGAAGTGCTCGCTTAGGAAAGCGTGAGACGACAATGCATCGGTGTAGTACCAAGGCCACGCCCTCAATAGGTGGTTGTGTCGGACTGCAACACATGTATCTCCAAGGTCACGCTCTCAGCAGGGGGTTTTGCCGGGCCCTAACCAGTCAGCACCACGTCCACAGCTTCGGTACCTGGTTGCGCTTAGAACACCACACGACCAGGATCAGCTGCTCGCTCTCGCTCACACGCCGGAACAGCATGACTGGGACACTCACTTGTCGCAGGGAACTGCCAAGCTCGTCCCAGTTAGTCTGCTAGCACCAGCTCAGTCCATTTTGGTCCCCTCAGGCCACACTTCCTGCGCTGCTCGGTTTTCCGGCCATGCTGGCTTCGCCTGTCCGCGTTCTCCAGCTCACGCGCATTTCGTCCGTTCCTTCAGTTCTACTTCTGGCTGTGGATAACACTCTTACCACACTTCCCCCCAACTTCAGTACGTTGTGCCGCAGATAACGTTAATTTTGACGCGACAGACCTGAACACACTAATAATGAAGGGAAACACCGGACAAACATAAAACCAACATTCTAGACGTTCTGTCACTACACTCAGGGCCACTTGTTTGTCGCAGAATGGCACGAAAGGTTGAAGGCGCTCATTGCGCATTTGAACACGATTGGCAGTGGCATGTACGATCTCGCACGTTTGCACACCATTTATACGTCACCACCACGCACGCACAATCTGCTAGCTCCAGTAGTCAGACACGCGCCTCAGAACACACCCGCCATACGTTTCACAATGTGGCTTTGTGGTCATTGCCTGGTCCTCTTGTCTTGGTATTGACACCAGACGATGTTTCCGCACGTCGTCGTTATGGCCGTTTCCACGCCGCTTGTATATATTAGCTCTGTGCCGTCGGGAGCGACTGTGGAGAAATGGATGTCGAAACGAATGCAGAGAGAGTGATGACAGCTCATGCATCGGAGCACCGAGGCTGTCTGTGCCATCATTGTGAAACCTAAAACCTTCGGCTTAGATTGCACGAAATGACTGATATTGTGTCGCCCGAAGTAGGCATGCTGCCTTGCTCGTCAACGATGCGTTACCGTGGCAGGTAAGGAAGTATGTTTCTTGGTATCTCCTGCCATTCCAACGAGGATGTTTTCGGGTTGAGGTCGCTGTTTCATGTGTTCATGTGAAGGTTTATATGCTTCCTCCGCATTCGATCTTGGTTTAGATGCGTGCGAATCGCCAGATACATTCTGCTCACCATTGACAGCATTTCCTTTGCTAGGGTCTGTGCACGGTGCATACCCTGTTTCCACTTTGTCATGATCATACTTTGGTACTGAATCACTCGGAGGTAACATATCTGGCTATGCCACGCCCTTGATGTTACCCATAACTACGTCGTACAATGGGTCAGTCATACACTCAATGAGTACCACCCCAGTAAACAATGGACATTGCAAAAGGATTTCTGCCTCTGTGAGGTATTGCACAGTGTGGTCCAGTAAGTGCACTGGGCTCTTTGTTCCCGTGAACTTTTTCTCCGGAACCAAGAATTGCCAATGACGACCGTGTTGCAGTAGTCGGTGTCTAGAAGTACATCCACTAGTCTGTTCTCTAGGAACCCTTCCACAACAGGCATGTCGGCAACTCCCACATTCGCAGATAGTTGACTTGATGTGGCATTGGCGATGGGTATTGTTCCGCTGTCCTGAAGAACAACGTATCCATTCTTATGGTGTTCAGGTGTCAAAGCTTCACATTTTTCTAATGCTATACATGATGCCTGGTCATTGCCAAATTTCTTACCGGGGCATCTGTCACTGCTGTGTCCACTTTTTTGACATACTTGACATTGGCTGGGAGTATTCTCTTTCGTGTGTGACCTGCCTTGTAGGAAACAGCGATTTGTACGCTTCTTCGCCTTCTTAGCAGACTTCGACTTTAGCACCGACGATCCTGGTTCCTTAGAACTGTGGTCCTTTCCTGTGAGTGAGTGCCTGTGCTTTCATGAAGTGGTCCACTGTCACACACAGCGAACCCAGTGTCTTGCAACTTCTTTCCTTGAGAAAGATTCTGAGTGCTGGAGAACAGCTCTTCATAAATTGCTCACTTAGCACGAGTTCTCTCAAGCTAGCAAAGTTGGTTTTTGCTTTGCCCATCTCCGGCCAGCGGTCAAAGTAGGCAGAGAGTCTTGCAGCATACTGCAAACCGGACTCGTTCTCCTCTAGCTCGGCTTTGTGAAATTTCTCGCAATAGCTTTCCACAGTATAGTGAAACCTCTGGAGAAGCGCTGCCTTTAGCTTATTGTTATTCAGAGCAGCTGTTGGGTCTAACCGGCCTATGGCGGTTAGTGCTTCACCAGTCATGCAGATGATAAGCGAAAGAGCCCACCTCTCACACGGCCAGCCCTGACACATTGCTCGCTCAAATCGCTGCAGGTATGCGTAGAGGTTGACCCGAGCTTCATTGAAGGGATGGATCAGTTAACGAGGACTGCATGCGTCTGTTCTATCTCTGGTACTCGTGCCAGGCCCGTCTTGCTCATCAGCCTCATTGGACTGTGGCCGGCTTGCACTTTCCTGAAGTAGCAGCTTCAGCTCTAAAATCTTGAGCTCCTGTTCCTGCACCTTCTGTTGCTGCTCTAGCAGCTTCAGTTGCCGTTCCGCGTCTTCTTTCGCTATCTCCCATTCCTTAACACGCTCATCTCGGGCTTCAACACACGCTTGGCCAACCCACTTCCTAAGCTCCTCAACCTCCAACCCTAGCTGTCGGCAGAATGCAACTAATTTTCCCCTATCCATGTCACAGGCTGTATCTGAGTATTGGCTTTAGGTTTTAATGAGCCATCCTGGCAGAGGCTCACCAACTTTGGTGGTTCATGGGCCCTCAGACACAGACAAGTCAAGGACACGAAAACATTTATGGACACTCACACACGACAAACACACACACATAGACTTGCTATATACAACTCTCTTCCTCTGCGCTCAGTTCTGACAGTCTGTAGGCATATACAAACATTCCGCGCCCTGTCTAGTACGGAGTCTATGGTTTCGTAGATATCAGTTACGGTACTGATGACCGCGCACCTCACGCAAGCTTGCAGCAGGGACAACACGAGGAGTCTGTCGTGAGGCCACGAGCAGACCTGGATCTGCTCGCTCAGGAAAGCGTAAGACAGTGCACCAGCACTAAGGCCACGCCCTCAGCAGGCAGTTATGCCGGGTCCGAGCCGGCTCAGCAGCATGTCCACGGCTTCAGTAGCTGGTTGGGCTCGGAACACCACCCAGTCGGGATCAGATGCCCACTCGCATGCAGGAACAGCACAACTGGAACACTCGCTTGCCGCAGAGAACTGCCAAGCTCGTCCCGGTTAGTCTGGTAACACCAGCTCGGTCCGTTTTGGTACCCTCAGGCCGCTTGGTACCCTCCGGCGTTCTTCTGCTTTCGCGCGCACTCTGTCGTCTCTTCGGTTCTACTTTTGGCTGTGGGTAACCCTCTTACCACAGTGCTTTATACACTGCACAGCAGAGCTGCTGGGACAGTGCCTGTTGCGGAGACACATTATTGTGCGAGGGAATTTTTTAGCAACTGTCTGCAGGCATTTTAAATGAGAGCATTTGCAACTTGATTAAAAAAGAAAAAAACAGGTCAAGTATAATGTGAAGGCAGTACTTAGGTGGAATAATTTTTTCCATATTCGAGTCCTATTCAGGGGGGCCCTGTGTGTTTCTCCAGTTTTTTTGGTATATTTAAACTGAATCTTGCCCTGTTGTTACTACATGGGTGGGGCAAAGCACATTATTGTGTGAAAATTTGCTCCAGTCAGCCTTTCTTTGTGCTGTGGGTACACATGGCTTTCAGCAGTCCTGATTTGTTATTTGCAGGATCTGTTCTTCAAGTGTTGCAAGAACCAGCTGCTGAGGACATGCAATGGTACGCCACCTGTGTTGTGAAATGCAAGACCCTTGTATGTTTCATATGAACATGGTCTTTAATGCCAATGGTTGCGACTTGCATGAAATGGTACAAATGCAGTGATATGAAGTGACATCTGAAGCATGGCTTGGATGCGGGAAGCTGCCTGTTTACTTAGTCTTTGGGAAAGTATGAAACCGAGGTGATTAAGACGATCCTGTTGCACAGCAGACGTCGCATATTTCGCCTAGCAATAATTGGATGTCTTGTGAAGAGGTATTTCAATACAGTTTTATTAGTACTTAACAGATATTTACATTGAAGTGCAAAAGTCGTGAAAAGAAATTTGGCTGTTCTTTTAATAGAAGTATGTAGGGATTCTACTGTCCGCATATTTTTGTGTATGGCTGCTGAATATTTCCAAAGTTCATTGATTTTTATGATATTGTGGAGTAATAATAATTGAACATTTTAAAGTGGTATTCATTCGCCTGGTGTGTGACTGATGGTGGCTCTGCAAACCACGCCTTTATGACCTCAGAGCGGGGATTCATGCCTTTTCGTCTGCTACCCAGGCCCGTGTAGATACCAACGTCATGGTAAAACTCAACAATGAAGCAATTCAATTGGTTATCTCATGTATGGTGACTACGGACCCTGTTCAAACAACTGTAGATTCTTGCTTTTGATGTTCCTTTTTGAAGTACAGTGCTTTGGTTTTTAGTACTGTGTCCATTTGCCTCTGCGGCAAGTGCCGTGCAATGGGGAAGTACTGCTGTGTGTCTCAGTGTAGTTTGTCTGCCTGTGAAAAGGGCGTTAGCTCTCGCAACTATCCTAAGGACCCGAAGCTGAAAAGTGAACAGTCAAGCTCAGAATGGGAGAGTGCCCCATGCCTTCATTGACCGTGTGCAGCAAGCACTTCGCTGACAGTGAGTTCTGCTATACCTGCTGTATGCGCCACTCTTCATTGAGCCTGTCACTATGTTTTTGAGTGCCTTGCCAGTAGACCAAAAACATGCTGCGAAGGCCCTTAGACAGGGAGCCGATGACACGGCCTTCAAATCGCATATCAGGTAACGGCGCCTCATGAAAACAGCCGAGTGGCACAGGAGACTATGGCTTCATTTAGTTAGTGTGTTTCATACGTAGTTTACTCATGAAGTCAAGTTCATGTGTAGCGCACTCCTGCTGCTGCTGTTTAGTGCAGATTCTGTACAGGTTTTTACTTGATGCAGTGCAGACACTTTTTAAATGCAGAGCTCTCTAAGCTATTCGTTATGCCACATGCTTGAACAGAAACTCGACACATCTTGCCTTTTACTCTCCATGGCTCTGTGTGTTGTATATATAATCAGGGATAAGTATTTGTATATATAATCAGGGATAAGCACTCTCAAATTATGACAGGTAGATTGCCACTATCCCTCAAGAGGAAGGTATATAACAGCTGTATCTTGACGGTACTTAGCTACGGAGCAGAAACCTGGAGACTTACAAAGAGTGTTCAGGTTAAATTGAGGACGACGCAGCGAGCAATGGAAAGAAAAATGGTAGGTGTAACCTTAAGAGACAAGAAGAGAGCAGAGTGGATTAGGGGACAAACGAGGGTTAAGGATATCATAGTTGAAATCAAGAAAGGGAAATGGACATGGGCCGGGCATGTAGCACGTAGACAGGATAACCGCTGGTCATTAAGGGTAACCTACTGAATTTCCAGAGAAGGCAAGCGGGTTAGGGGGAGACAGAAGTTAGGTGGGCAGATGAGATTAAGAAGTTTGCGGGTATAAATTGGTAGCAGCAAACACAGGACCGGGTTAACTGTTGCAACATGGGAGAGGCCTTTGTCCTGCGGTGGACGTAGTCAGGCTGATGATGAAGATGTATTTGTTGTATTCTAGTACCCAAGCGACGGCCCTGTGTGCTATTAGTATGAACTACTGCGTGATATCCTTCTCACTGAACCAAAATTACTGGGTGACCTCGACCATGCATTCAGCAATGTGGCCTGCCCTCGATGAGACACCGCTATGTTTCGTAAGCTTTGTCTACATACCTGTAGAAGCTGGAGAAAGGCACGCCTACTGAAATATGAAAAGAAACACCCGAACTAGCTAGTATCATATAAAACTGTAGAAGACGAGTGAGAACACCACCACTGTGGCATCGATGTGCTTGTTGGCCATCTGGGAGATTCCTCAGCCCTGTTGACTGAGCTGCAACTACAAGTTCGCACATTCATTGCAGGCATTAGTTGACCTCGCAAGACTGTTCATTCTACTAAGTTCCGGCAGATGGTCCGAGTGCAGGAGCAGTGCAGTTGAGAGCAGAGTTCCCGCTCTGATGTCATAAGGCCACCACTCTAAGATTTTGACGCATATTGCTCGGAAGCAGGAGCAGCAGAATACCTTGTGCTCCATCACATATGTTATTCAAGCAGCCAAACTATCTGCAGTCTTCCCATCTACCGTGTTGTGGCAGATGCCTTGTCCTTACTTTCTTTTTTGCTGTTTGCAGACTTGCTTCGAAGGCTGTCGAGGTCCCAGAACACCGTGTTTTGTGGAAAGATTCTTGTCTTCTTGGCCAAGCTGTTCCCTCTTTCAGAACGTTCTGGTAGGTGTGCTGCCATTGCGAACGATTTCGCAGTGGTATCTGTGTTGGTAGCTTGTAGCTGGCTTTGACTGCTGTCATGCCTAATTTTTTTATGTCCAGTAATCAGTGGCTTTGTGGTAATTGCACTGCTCTTTCTCAGGTTTAAACATTGCCAGTGAATTCAATGCTGAAAACATAACATTGTTCAGCTCTGAGGACTACAAAGGGATCTCTGATGAGGCTTCGTACCATGACGAGTCTGAATCCACGAGGTGAGATGGCAGCTTCTTGTTGTTTTAATTAAACAAATAAACAAAGGTGGCACTATATAAATACTGCAAGGCTTCCGTCTGCTCGCCCAGTGGGCAAGAGGCAGATGCCTGCATTTTTTTTGTTTCTTGTCTCTCAGCTGGCACTGTTTGGCATACTGATTAAAGGGCACCGTAAGCAAGGGTGCAGCAGCTGTGTGAATTGTGCCAGTTTGATACAATTCTCCATTGTTGCGCTGAGCTGCGCCAAATGCTTGAGCAGCCTCAAAATGTTCTCAGGTGCGTTAATTTCAGCGAGAAATAGAGACCACGTTGGCCACCTGCTCTTTGCGTCACCAGTCAACCCAAGCGCACAGACCCTAACCCTAAACCATGGTGCAAGATATATACTAGTTTTAAGTGATGACACTGGTGAGACGCGATCGACCAGATAGAGTAACAATGCCACATGCCCACCGGTTCGCTGACTGCAGCAGATATCTATCAGTGGGATGATGGAACTTGACAAAAATGTGTTGCCGTAGCGACCAACGCTTCACGGGAAATATGAATTTTTCAGTCAGCAAACACGGTTATGGCATGTTAGGAACTAAAGCTTGAAGCGTATGGCGCATTTGCCGCATGCGAACAAGCTTAACTGCTGGCGAACATCGATGTCGCCAGCCTCCGTGTTGGTTGTCATAACAATGGCACCTAAAACGATAGATATTCAATGTTCAATGCCGTCGCCGGGCCAATGGGTGTGTGCCGTTGTTACTTTATCTGGTCAAACGCGGCTTGCAAGCGAGCCGAGAAGTTGTGCTCTAAACCTAACCTTACCGTGAAAAAAAAAGGGGGGGGAGAGTGGGGTTGGAGGGAGGAGGGTGTTGTCATTTGAAAATTTTTTGGCATTTCTCACCTGCGCAGAGTGTCCTTCACTGCAGTACACCACTGTTCTGCATAAAAGAGCATTATGATTTGCAAGGGGCTGTTAGCACTAGTCACATGACACTGTACATTTTGTTCAATTAATCATGCATGTATGCACTGCATAATTGAGAGTACTAGTATGATTGGTGACGTCTAATGAAAATGACTGGCAATCACTTTGAGCATTCAGTGACACTTCTGCTGCCCTAAAAAAACAAAACTAAATTGTGCGACAGTAATTTTTTTTTTCGTCGCCCTATTCCTTGGTTTTACGGTACTGCCGAATTTCAAGGTCGCCCGCTTGGCAGAGCCACATTTAAATTGGCAGTCTGTCAAAGGCCTGGCAAATGCTAATGTGGACTTCATCATTGTTTGCTCAGTATGATGGCTCAAAATACTACTTTGAAATTGCAGTGCTTAACAATTGCTTAACAATTTAGGTGATGTTCAAAGGTCTTTTCTTTTTCTAAATATAAGCCTCTTCTTGAAACTGCTTCAAATGTTGTTCTTCATGATAAATAATGGATTCTTTTTTTCTGTAACATGCTCCGAATTTGGGTTCTAGGCCTCCAAAAATTAAATTTTGCTGCTGAAAAGATTGCTCCAAATTCTATTTTGGCTGTTGCTACCAAGCTTATGAAACTTTGAGCGACTGAAATAAGACTAAGCGGGGCTATTTTGAAATGTCATGTTTTGCATCCATCTGTGTCATGCTATCTTATTAAAATGGCAGCCCTTATATCGTTTCTACAAAATATTGGCTTCTTATATGGACAAGTGGACACATTTGAAGCTGTGCCATGCAGATGGGCACTTTTGTGCAACAGGAGTGCTGTAGCCAACCACAAGAATAATAGCGGATTAGCTTTTGACCACATTCAGTCAGCTGTGTGTGATGTAAAAAAAAAACTACTTTTACATTTTTAATGAAAGCTTGCCTCAAGAGTGTGCAGCTGTGCACGTTTATAAGCACTCGTGTTTATGGAGAAACGTGTAAACTTGTTGACTAACTCGAGTCCTGAAACAGAATGGTAGGTGCTAGTATGAATAAAATTGAGGAAAATAAAAATGCGTACTAGTATGTTTGTTTTGTTCATAATGTGCGTATGTGGTAACAACTTATCTTGGTGCATAAAGTAGTATAAAGTACTACTTATTACCTCCTCTAGTTGTGTTCCCGTTGACTACAACCTTTACCGCAAGTTCTGGTCACTGCAAGAATACTTCCGGCAGCCTCTTCTGTGCTACACCAAAGTCCACTGGCGACAGTTCACCTCGGCAAGTGCTCTTGCTTTTTAGAAGCATGCACACTGTTTTGAAAAGATCTATATCTGCTATTAAAAGGTGCCTACGCTGTTTACCTTGTGGGGTCTTGGGACAGTCATACAAACCAACAGCAGGCCATTTATTTGTAGCCAAATTAAAAGCATGTGAATATAACATGCCGTGGTTATTGAGTTACAAGTTGAGTTCACCTGTTTCAAGAATGCAAGCCTCAGTAGTTCATGTATTGTGCAGGTATCCACATGGTTTCCCACTTGCAATCTGTATAATGAGAAGTGTATAACGAAAAGTCATTATACAGATTGCAAAGAGGCTATCGTCTATCAAGTCACATTATCATGCGGAAAAACATACATTGAGCTAAGCGAAAAGTGTGCCAATATTCGTTTCGGAAAGCATGAATGTTCACTGTCGGAAGCGAAACCATTTTCTGTCACCGCCAATTGTAAACAAGGCAGTAGCGCTCCATTCTTAGTTGACACTAAGATTCTGTCAGGTCATAAACAAGTACTGCCGTGAGCTAAAAAATGATCAGCGTCAAATGACGGAAAGCCTCAACTTTGCCTTCACTTCAATTGAGGAGCACAAGAAGAAACTGGACGATGTGGTTACAAAGAACAGGGATCTTGAAAGTGAAAATGCTGCTCTTCGTGCTGAGTGTAAATGTCTTGAGAGCAAAGGCAGGGATCTTGAAACAAGGCTTGTTCTTGCTGAGTAGTACTCGAGGAAGGCAAACCTCGAGATACAAGGTGTACTGAAACAAGATAATGAATCTGTTACTAACATTGTCTCTAAGATTGGCAGTGCCATAAATGAGCAAATAACTGCAGGTGATATTGAGGTCTGTCATCGGGTGCCGAGCCGAGACAGCGGCAGAAGTAATATCATCGTCCAGTTTAAGTCTCGTGCAAAGCGAGACAGCATTTTAAGGAAAGCAAAACGAGCTCGTCTAACTAACAAAGATGTCGGACTGACCAGTGAAAATGCTATCTATGTGAATGAGCATCTTTGCCCAGCCTTAAAGAAACTTCTAGCTCTTGCTGTGAAGAAAAAGTATGAATACAAATGGAAATCCGTCTGGTCATTTAACAGGAAAATCTATGCGAAGCAATCTGACGATACGCCCGCCGTGCACGTTCCAAATGAGCATGGTATTGATAAGGTTTTTTCGGGGTCGTCATATGCAACTGCGTAGGCGCAGGTGACAGGCTGGGCTGAACACTGCGCCGTATCATCAAAATGGATAACGACTGCACATACATAAACTTAGCGTCACCTTCTGCTATTAAATCTGATTACCTGTCATGCCAATCAGTTTTGCATATTAACACTCGCTTTGTAATGAATAAAGAGGACGACATTTTGTTTTTTTTTAGAGCAACTCTCATTCAAAGTGGGTGTTCTTATGCTGTCTGAAACCTGGTATACGAACAACAGTAGCAAGTTGAAACTGCCTGGATATGCCAGTTTCTTTTCCAATCGATCGGATAAACGTGGAGGGGGTGTTGCGCTTTATGTGACTACAGAGAAGAAATACCATTTAGTTCATGAATACTGCGTGTCAACAGAAGATTACGAAATGCTCACTGTCTCCGATCAAAATGAAATGTTCGCTGTTGTTTATCGCCCACCGGGTGGAAATATTAGGCGTTTCCTAGCATTTTATGAAAGTTTCCTGGACTTCACTTGCAAAAACAACTTTCACTTGACATGCGGTGGCGACTTTAACATCAATATTCTTGATGACAGCACTACTTCCACGGAATTTGGTACATTGCTGTCTTCGAGTGGTTTCAAAAATTTAATTACTACACCAACTCGAATTACGTGCGGCACATTGTCTTGCCTTGACCATTTAATAATAAATGCAGAGACAAAGATTTACACCACTGGTACTGTTGCTTCGGACATTAGTGACCACCTCCCTGTTTATGCGCTATATGAAAATCAAAGAGGAATTCGAAACCGTGAGGTAGAAACATTCACTGTTCAGCGAATAACAGATAGTGGGCTGGTTGCCTTTAAAACTGAGATAATGGCCCAAGACTGGTCTTCTGTCTTGGCATTAACGTCCGCCAATGAGGCATACAATGAGTTTATAGAGAAATTTATAAAAATATACGAAAGGCATTTTCATATGAAACAAGTAAAACCACCAAAAAAAGCGAGAAAGCCATGGATAACGAAAGAACACTTGAAAATGATTTCGCGTAAAAATTCCTTGTATCATTCATTTTTGAAGTCTCGTTTGCAAATACAATTAAAGGAATTTAAAGCTTTTCAAAACCATTTAAATTGTGAGCTACGGCGTGCCAAACGAGCTTATTACGAGCAACTTTTTCTGTCCGCCTCACAGCAGCGGCCTGATAAGACATGGAAAATAATAAACGATGTTCTTGGTCGTCGGACCAAACAAAGTGTTCCAAACAGTATACTTCATGACGGTACTGAGTTGAAAGGCGAGGCCCTCGCTAATCACTTTAACCAACATTTCATTAACGCTGCTATTCCTGCTGCCTACCCCACCTGCCCTGCAACGTCGGGAATAACAAACTCAAGTCTTATTGTCGAAAGCATTTTCTTCCAGCCTACTGATGAATACGAAGTCTGCGCTACATTTCAATCCTTGAAAAATACTAATGTGTTAGACACAAACAACCTGCAACTAGGCCCTATTAAGCATTGTATAACTTCTATTTCTCCTGCTCTTGCTCACATATTCAATTTAACGCTTCAATCGGGCGTATTCGCACAGGCAATGAAATACGCCAGAGTTTCGGCAATATTGAAAGCAGGTAGCCCTAATGACCCCAATAACTACCGGCCAATTTCGGTGTTACCTGTGTTTTCTAAGGGGCTAGAAAAAATTATACACTGTCGCATGGTCAATTTCTTCGATAAGTTTGGTATCATAACTAACGCGCAACACGGATTTAGGAAACACAGGTCAACGGAAACAGCCCTTCTGTCAATCAAGGAAACGATAATAAGGAACATAGAAAGGAAATCCTATGCGCTGGCGTTATTTATAGATTTTAGTAAGGCATTCGACTGCCTAAGTCATAACATTTTATTAGACAAACTAGAATGCTACGGAGTACGTGGTAGCTGCTTATCACTGTTTAGGTCTTACTTAGGTGACAGATACCAGTGTGTTTACGTGAACGGTCACAGGTCGTCTTGTCTAATAAACAAATTTGGCGTGCCTCAAGGAAGCGTTTTAGGGCCACTTTTATTTAATATCTACATTAATGACATTGTGAACCTTAATACTAATGCTGAATTTATTATATATGCTGATGACAGCACTGTCATATTGTCTGGGAACGACGTGCGCAACTTGACAACGGATTGAAATGAACTGCTAAGAAAGTTATCTACCTGGTCTCAGCTAAATCAACATAGGATCAACGCGAAAAAAACTAAGGTAATTATTTTTCGCTCCAAGAACAAATTGCTTCCGTTAAATAATACTATTGCTTTTGAAGGTCAAAAAATCGAAATAGTTGACAGTCACAAAATCCTTGGCGTGCACTTTTCTTCACAACTTACTTGGGACATGCATGTAAATTACCTATGTGAAAAGCTCTCCTCTGTGACAGGTGTCTTATAACAATGTCGTAGTTCGCTACCTACAAAGGCCAAAGTACAGATTTATAATGCTTTATTTCATGCACACTTAAATTATTGCGCCTTAGTGTGGAGTACAACCACTATAACTAACATACGTAAAATTCTGATGCTACAGAAGAAGATTATTCGCTATATTGACAACATAGACTATTATTCTAGCACCAGAGAAGCGTTTCCTAAGTACAACATTATTAGAATTGACAACCTTTATACTTTTCGTTTATTACATACTGCGCGATATGCTTCTGAATCCCTCAAGAACTATATAAAACAGTTGGCATTGTTAGAACGTCGTAGAATTAATGTGAACACAAGAAACCCTGAGACATGGTCAGTTCCATATTTCACTACAAACATCAATCGTTGGCATATAACCTACCATCTACTTTAAATAAATATAAAGACATTGACACGGTCAGTAAAAAAGACTTCCGCTTATATTTCGTTCACTTGTAATGTCACATACTGTGACATTCTGTGTAATTGAATTGTGCGTAACTTATGTTGTTTCTTTAACACAGTCTTCTGCTTACATGAATTTCTTGCTGTGTTATATGGCCAGTGTTTTTCTTTTATTTTGTCCCGAATAACTAGTATTGCTACATTGGTACGGTGTTATTATTCTGTGTTATTATTATTTATGTTTATTACTTATGCTATAGCCGTATTTTATTGTATGTAGCACTTTTTTATTTATTTTTTTCTAGCACTTTTTATGCACATGTATTTATTTTCACTTTTTCTTCCTGCAATCCTCATACTGGAAATCCATGTAAATCACTGTATATGTACATACAATATGGTATTCTGTTTTACTTGTTGGTTTTCTCGTCACTGCACCGGACTGCTTGCTGTTACTGCCCTGTATAGTCTGGTCGTTGGGTCTCATCAAGCTACTTATGTAGCTTTTAACCCAACGCAACCATCCAGTATGTATAAACTGGAAAATAAAATTGAATAGAATTGAATTGGATAGTCAGAGAAATCTTTGAAGTGCTCCATGTGCAAAGGAAAGGAGAAAATTTGTATCAGTCCACCTTTTATTGCGCTAAGTGGCATGGAATCTCAATGCCTGAGCGCTACCTGCACATGTTGATTACAATAACTATCTGTTTTCTGTTCTGTTTTTTTCACTTCACCTTTATTTTTGCATTTTTTCGTCTTAGTAAATTCAGTTGCAAATCAGTGCCCGTGTTGTGAGTCTTCGCCCCTCAGTGCGTAGTTAAAATCAAGATGAATTTATACTGACTTGCTCAAGTTTGAACATATTTTAACACAGCACATGACTACACGGACACAAGAGAAGAAGGGACAAACCGCAGCGCCTTCTTCTCTTGTGTACGCGTAGTCACGCGCTGTGTTAAAATATGTTCAAGTACTGTCACCAACCAACTTATCTTTCATTCCCTTTACTTGCTCAAGTTTCAATTCTCATCGTGGTCTGCTGTCAGACCCATAAGTTCAAAACCTGTGCATTTGTTTGCTTTATGTATATTTGTGTTCTAAGGCTTCAAGTGCAATGAATTTGTCAGTGTGTTGCAGTGGTTTCAACATTCGTTTTCCTAACTTCTTTAGACAAGGCTTAGCAAGCATGGCTAAATAATTGCGCTGATCTCAATAATAAAGGCAGAACATACCTGATGCTTTGTCCACAACATGAGATGACACAAAATGATAGCCGATTTCTTCATTTATTTGTTGCTGTCAGGAGAGTGGGCAATAGCAAGTGCGAGTTTGAATCGAAGCAGGTGGTTGTGCTGGCATGGGTGCTGTCACATTGGTTCGTAACACCAGCTACGGACAGTTGCTAATATACAACAATTAAAGGCATGCACCATAAATGCGAAGTATCTTATCACACATTGCTGTGGCATAGTATGTACCACGGAGTAAGATAAGAGAGGAGCGCCGACTCCGCTCGTCTGGAAGAGACACATCTTGCAACGCCGCTTCATGCTTCACGGTTCGTCTGCCAAGTTGCGCTACGTATGGAGGAAAGCAGCGGAGGAGAGGTGCTGCCCTCAAGCAGAGCCGTGGGCAGGGGCTCCATTTGTCGTAGCTATAGCAATGGCACAGACACGCGCTTGGCCGCATTCATGGGTCTGCTCGTCTATCTGTTTTGTTGTCTGTTCCGCGCATTTCTTACGTCTTCTACCAATTCTTTCCTGTAAAGAGCATGATTATTGCAGTTTGCGGATCGACGTTATAATAAGAAATAACCCAAATGTATCATTTTACTTCTCCTAATAAAACAGGCCAAATGTCTGACATCTTTAATGTTGGCCACAGAGAATTATACAATGCCACCGCAACGTACATAAGCATAATATATACATAAACTTAATGTATGAGGTAACATGGCAAAAAGTGAGTTTCAATCTGGGCAGAGAGAGTCTTTCGTGTTGCTTATAGCAGTAGAGCTGCTTGCGCCGCTATCTGCCGCACATTGTTCTTTGGAAGGTGCACACAAGTTGTTCTCTTTTCTTAGATCCTTGCCAGGCGATCAACTGAAGGAGTCCTCTCGTAGGCAAGGCTGAGAATTTTCATTCTCTGGGCAAAGAACGGTGCCCACTCTGTATGCGGATGTAGACAAATTGATGTCCTCTCGCTTTTCGCCACCTGTGTCTGTTGGTTTTTCCTGATATTCAGCGTCATTGAGTTGAGCCATGCGTACCCCAGAGATGGAACAAATTGCTCCCTTTAGAATTGAGTCATTTTCTTTACATCTAGTAGAATGTTTCTTTTGTGTTCGCTGAAGTACCTGTCAAACATGAGGTGCTTCTTGAAGTGTCGAGCACATAATTTGTCCTTCGATTTTAGGGGTCGCATACTCACGGGCACTTTTTGGCACCACTGATCCAGTAGCAGCGGATCAGATGGGTCTGCGAAGAGCGGAATCTTCTCCCACTTTTTGTCATAACCAGACTTGCAGCAGGGAAAAAACACTTCATTGTCCTCTGTCCGGTTACCCCACGTCTTCACTCACAAATACAAAGATATCTTGTCCCCTCGAGCATGAATAAGCACATTCCTGATATTAAACAAAAGGTGTAACACGAAAATGTCCAGCCAACACTGCCACTCAGGGGTTCATGCATGGAAAACAAGCGTACGTGTGCTCTGGTGTTGTTCTTCTGCAGAATTCTTCGTCTGTTTTGTCTGAAGGTCTGTAACAGTGTTTCGCATATGTGTAAAAGAAAGCGGTTCAATGTTTTTATTTCTAGTATTTCATAATGAGTATGCATATATATGTTTCGTTTGGTTGTTATACTGAGGCAGCCGAGCAAATAGTTTTCTAGCCGACGACACGCTCTGCGCTTGCGGCTCCCTGCCACCGCTGGTTTCCGCCAGTTCACGCATGCGCTCATTAGCGCAGCTCTACAGGTGGTGCTATGCGTTGTGATTCGCCCTGAGAAAGAAGGAAGCATGTGCAAAAGCAGGAAGAGGAGCAGAGGAGGAGAGCAAAGGAATGAGTTAGACCACCGCGTGCGTATTGCACGATGTATCTCGCGCGGAAGCGATAGGCGATGAGGGAAGCGGCGCACTTTTCTTATTGTATTCCGTAATATGTACCAAGCAAGTGCACATGTCTGAACATTACCAACTATGAGTTGATTACATGTAGAACCATGATTTGCCCCTGCAAGCATGCAACTTCCTTATACTCTGCTGCAACCAACTTGTGTGGTACGGCCACAGCTGCTTCGCTGGCCCAATATGTTGGCTGGAGCTGGAGGGAAGACAGATAATGTGATCAAGCACAGCCGTGCCCGTGTGCCATTGCCTAATATCGTCCATATGTATAGTTATGCGTACATTTATAGAATGCCTGAAACACAGTAGACTTATGATAATTAAAACTTTGATAATTCATACTTATGGTTAATTTAAACAAAATTCAATGTTTTTTATGGTTGGCCCTGTATTCTTTCAATGTATTTAAAAGCCACGTAATTCAAACTCTGTCATTCGGTTGATTCATAATTTTCGCAGTTATATACCGGAAATTGCCTGCTCCTTTCCTAGTACTATTTAAAAATTTGTGTGCTTATATAATTCTAACTATCTAAAACTGAAAAATGAGCACCTCATGTTTTTAAGGAAAATGGCTTTGCTAGTTAACAAATGTTAAAATGAAGCACATGCATGGCTGTGATGCTTTTGAAGTGGTATAGAAAGCTTTGTGCTCAAGACACATATAGCAAAGAAGCAGTCGGCAGTTGATGATTTCTTCAAAAGGTCTGATCAGTAATAAATGGCCAATAAGCTCGTGGGCCTTACACCTCAGCTTTCTTTTCATTAGGTGCAGTTAAGGTTAAAAACGCTTTAAAAAATTTTATTGTGATAAAATCAATGTGTCATCTTGCCCTGATATATCTGAGACCTTCTGATAATTCAAACTTGTTGATAATTCAAACAAAATTCAGGGGTCCCTTGGAGTTTGAATTAACCCGAGTCGACAACATGTAGTTCAGAACAAAACATTTTTAAGGGTGTGGCCGGGGATTTGAACCTGTGACCGTCGGCTTGACGGTGCAATTCATTTAACCAATCGGCCACATTGCACGCATCCGTAAGCATACTAATGGTGAGCTATTTGTACTCACTACTTTCAGTTGGTGATACGTGCATCTCAATGGGCCTTCAGCGTAGTAGATACATGTTCACTGTCACCTTTAAGATGCCACAAAGGGTGTGTGCTGAGGGCAGGATTGTATGTAGAAATCGTTTGGGGGGCTTTTCAATCAACAGCGGGGGCTGGGTTGGCTAACGGTCATTTTGTGCTGTGTATGCATGGTGAAAATATGCCACTGGTGGAGGGCATTGCCCCGTCCGCCAGAGTTGGGCTGCCTGCCCTTGGTTGACCAAAGGAATGTGGTTTCCTCTGCTTGGTGTGCATTTATCACAGTGCCATGAAGTTACAGACTTCACATTGTTTATTGTTGCTGTGTTCGCTAAAGGAGTGGGCTTCTAGCCATTCATCATTTGACATTCCAATTGGTTGCTATTGCATTCAGTGCGTGGCCCTTGTGCTGAGATTTTTTTATTGCTTCTTTGCCAAAAGTTCGAGCAGTGCTGTAGTTTGTAGCTCGTTCACTGCCCCTTGAGCAGGAAAACAAGAAATAATTTGGGCTTTGCTGAATGTGCTGCGATGTGTTTGTTTCAGTACTCGACAGATGTGCTGTCAGTGTTTGGCAGCTTCAAGCTGGACGACATCAAGACAGCACAGTGGGCATTACCAGGAAGCTCAAGCAGTCCATCTGGGAAGTCCGTGTACTTTGCGAAGTACCTGACTAGCCAGAAGGTGGGTGCATTTTTGAGTATTAAATGAGCTTGGCTGCTTTTTCTGAGGCATGCTGCCAAGGCTCTTGCAAACATGTGAAGCAAACATTATTGCACCGCATGGTATCTACATTTACTTGTCAAAAACAGCCAAAAATCACCTTCTTTCTCCTCAGCACAATCAGTATTGTCATAATATGTACAGCAGGCGGTATTGGCTGATTTCATGAGTGGGTGCCAGTGTGAATGTCACATCGTTTATTGTATTTTATTCGCATAATAGGTGCACCCCTAGTTTGTTTGCGAGAAATTGTTTTTTTTTTTTATTTCCACTCATAATAGGCGCACCCCAAACTTGGCTGTGATCAGTAATTCTGTGGCGTATTTGCATGACCCTTTTACATTAACTTAAGTGACAAAAAAAAGTAAAGAAAAAAGACTGCGGCAGGGCTGTGCCAGCTCCGCGGGCACACCCAGGGAGGAAGAAGGGCAGTTGCTTAGGTGCCTTTGCAGCGGTGCTGGCGTGGCTCCGGCCACTAGCCGGGCTGCGAGCGCTCATCGAGCGTGTGGAGCGCGCACGTTTTATGCGGAGCTTCCTGTCTGGAAAAACGTCGTTGTTATCATGTCTGCTACCTCGTCTGCAAATTTAAAAGCTTTTTGGCTTTCCGATGTGAGCTTTCACCTTTGCTCCCACTACGCAGACTTGCACAAGGTCAGCAGACTTTTGTCGTCGTTAATTTCCTGGCCACGAACCTAAATGTGGTATCACAGGCGCTGCCCTTAAATCAATTGCTCGAGTGCGATCTTTTCAACACTCAATATAGAAGGCAAGCAGGTTAGGGGGTGACGTAAAGTTAGGTGGGCAGATGAGATTTAGAAATTTGTGGGTAAAAAGTGGCTGCAGGAAGCACACGATCGAGTTGACTGGCAAAACATGGGAAAGAGCTTTCTCCTGCAGGGGACGTAGTCAGGCTGATGATGATGATGTAGATTCATGTTGTCGTGTGTAAACATCCCGCGACAACAGGCCGAATCGTAGGCTAGCTAGGCCTAATCATACTTGATGCTTTTCGGTTGCAGTCCCGTGCGATAAAAGTTGTGGTTTTGTGCGAAGTCAACGTAACTCTATTTGGTGGGTCTACTTAGGGGGGTAGATGGGTCTTTGGGACCGAAAAGGGAGAAAAAAATTATTTTTTTTAATTGACACATTTTGTTCCTGCAGCTATTTTTCTATCTGCAAATTTTCACGCACCAAGAAGTGGTAATTCTTTTTTTAATGTCATTATAACTGTTCAGATTCTTGGTTCCACCAACATGCAGAACCTGCAAAAAAAGGGGGAATCTACTTCGAGGCTTTTTTAATAATTTGGTAGCGCTGTTGTTTCAAAGCTCTGCTACCAATTGATGAGTGCCTTTATGAGCATTGCAAAACATGCACAGCTTGATTGTTGTTTTTTGAATAAACTGTGTGTTGTCAGTTTTTTTTTTTTCATCTTTTTTAAAAATATTGTAAATGAACGATTGTTCAATTTTGAGGCCTATGTATTTCTGCAACTAGAGCAGGTACAACAATTAACTCTTTTTGAAATGGAAATGGAAATGTCGAGGCCCGTGTGCTCAGATTTGGGTGCACGTTAAAGAACCCCAGGTGGTCAAAATTTCCGGAGCCCTCCACTACGGCGTCTCTCATAATCATATGGTGGTTTTGGGACGTAAAACCCCACAAATCAATCAATGAAATGGAAATGTTTACGTGTATAGAATGCAAGTATGGGAGCAGAATTTTGAGCAGAAACCTTTCTAATTAGTCGCTCATAAAATTGTAAGACATTTCCAACTGCCTTTGAAAGTGGAAAGTTCATTTTGCTGTAATATAACCAAGAAAGGCCAGAAAACAAAAAAACTTGCATATTTCTGATCTCTAGTCATTAGTATATGTTGCCATATTTTAGATATCCCTTTTGGTTAAGCACTTTTTTTTCCCTATGGTAAATAATAGCGGGTGAAATTAAGTCATCTCAGGAACAAGATGAGTTATAGGAAAAGTAATTATATATTTGAAATAAGGAGAAAAACCTGCGTTTGCAGTTTGGTCAAGGTCACTGAAGCAATAAGCAAAAAAATGTCTATGACGAGTTTGCTCCCTTAGAAGAAATAGGGCTTGAATAGCCACTGTAACACTCGAATGGCGGTTCGTGATTCGGTGTCTTGGGTGTGAGCCTGTGAAATCAAACAATCAGTACCGTTCTGCACACAAAATTTCAGCCGTAATAATGCGCATAATCTAGGCGGCACTTTCTTCTCATATTTTCTTATTTCTCATTCATGTTTTGATGTTAATTTCTGGAAATTTGAATGCACACTGCATTGCAGGCCTTGATTTTCGAACACGCGAGACTGCATGCTCAACACTTTTTGCGCTAGTGTAGCCGACAAAGAAAGCTATTTTGGCGGTAGTGCAGATTTTCGTGACTTCGGCGACGTATGTTATCAACAGTGTATGCTGTTATCGGAAATAACGTTTTCGGAAATTTTACCTTGTGTAATCGGCTCGGCGCACTCCAAAGTTGGAGCTGGATTTTCTGGAAAAAAGGTACATTTATTATGGGAGTAAGTACGGTAGTTTATCCATTTATTCATTTATTTATTCATGGTACCATACAGGCCCCGAAGAGCATTGAGAAAAAATGACGACAAATAAAGCATAAAAAGAAACTACTTGGAGGAAGAAACAAAGAAAATTGTACAATGGAAGGGCAAACAATCGATTGCAGTACAATACAAAATCTGGAAAAAAAAACACATCTTTATACAAAAATTAAGGGAACATATAAACTTAACAAATGCTCACGAAATTTCGCAGGGTCTCTTAATGAAACAATTTCACCAGGAAGACTATTCAAATGTGTGATGGTGCGTGGCAAAGCAGAATTATTGAATGATTGTGTGTGGCCGAAGGTGCGTCTAAAACTGAGATCATTATAAGGACGACATGGTGTATGCAAAGGAATTTAAATCGAGAGGTGACTGGTCTACGAATTGTAATTGTACTTATGGAAGAGGCATAGAACGGTCACACAGCGGCAGGAATCCAAGTCAAGAGGGGCAATATTGCGTTTGAGTTCGGTGATGCTGGAACAGCGATCCTACTTTGAAGTTATGAAGCGGGCTGCACGATTTTGGATGGATTTAACTTTATCTATTAGTTATTGTTGATGAGGAGACTAGATCGATAAAGCGTACTCCAATTGAGGGTGCAGAAAGGTTAGATAAGCCTGTTGCCAAAAGGAAGATGGGGAATGATGCTAATTCCGGTGCAGAAATTTCAGAGTTCTGTTAGCTTTTGCGCATACTTTTTCGATGTGATTGCACCAGGCAAGATTAAAACAAAGATGAATGCCGACATATTCGTAAGTAGACGAACTGGGAATTTCAGCGGACAGACAGAGTAAGGAAAGGGAAAAACAGATTGCTTACAAGTGAAAGAAAGTACACAGCACTTAGATGTGTTAAGCGTCATTTGCCAGTGGCCACACCACGGATTGATTAGGTCGAGGTCCTGTTGCAAACTTACATGGTCTTCTTCAGAGTTAATAGTCCTATACACTAGGTAGTCATCTGCGAAAAGACGAATTGAAGAAGAAAGGTTACGAGGCCAATCATTAATATATATCAGAAAAAGAAGAGGGCCTAATACACTACCTTGGGGCACACCTGATGAGACAAATAAAGCAGATGATCTGGAGTTATTGACAAATGTGAACTGCTGTCGATTTGATAAAAAATTTTAGAGCTATAACGTTGATGAGTCGAGTCTAAGTGCTGATAGTTTAGCTATTAGGTGACAGTGTCAAATGCTTGTCGAATTTTTTCGTAAAGTCTAGGAAGATGCAATCAATGATTTTAATATTATTCATACTGTTATGTAAATCTGACTCAAATTCTAATAGTTGAGTATCACATTATAATGCTTTCCGAAAACCATGTTGATTTACAAGGAAGAAGTTATTTGACTCAATATGACTAAATATGGGAGGCGATGATGTGTGAAAGCAGCTTGAAAAAGATTCATGTTAGCGAGATGGGGTGATAGTTACCGGGGGAGTGTTTGTTCCCATCTTTAATTATTAGAATGACCTTTACCGTCTTCCAGTCGGTGGGAACTTGACCAGTGGATAAACAATGGTAAAAAATGGGACATAAAATTTGACTGGACGAAGCACATGTGTTTTTGAGTACCTTTGTATTAATATTGTCGACACCGCACACACAGGCCTTCTACAGTAACACTGATAGGAGACATGAAGTAGTACTCAAGATCAGAGATGCAAGGAACCGATGAAAAGTCTTCATTTGTAAAGACAGAGCGAAAAAAACCAATTGAAGGTTGAAGCACATTCAGGTGCTGAGACTGGAACATTATCAGTGCTATGTAATATAAGCATGTCACTGCCATGATCAGGTGAAATGGCATGCCAGGACATTCTGGGGTTAGTGTGCAAAAGTGAAGGGAGATCAGTGGTACAATATTTCTTTTTCCCTTCTCTAACTGCAAGAGAGTAAGATTTTAAGCAGTTTTTATATTCATACCAGGATTTAGGAAACTATAGTTCCTTAGCACAAGCATATAACCTTTTGTTTTTATTCCTGAGATATTTAAGTGATCTATTAAACCACAGTTTGGATTTATAGTTTATGATATGGATTAGTGGAACATATTTATTTATGAGAAGCGCCATAATATTTCTAAAGAAAGTGCAGTTATTCTGCACAGACCTGTTGGTGCATGGGGGAAGAAATGTATTGTGCAGGAAGATATCAAGTTCAGCGTTCATTTGATTGTCATTTGCCTTGCTATAATCCCTGATTACCTTACGCTGGACACCCAAAAAAGTTAGTGGGATATTGATTGAAAACTGTGAAAGCTTGTGATCACTAAAGCCATCTAATTGCAGAACGGGATCTATCCTATAGTACGTGGCTCTGTTGTCAGAATGACGTGTAAAATATTTATTATCACAA